CGTAAGGGATCAGACTTCCAACTTCTATTAAAAAAAAGGAAACAGACTTCAACTAAAGTCAATGTTTTATTTTATTAAATGATGTGAAAATCAGAAGTTCCTAGTATTAAAAAATGTCGAGACATATAATGTAGACTGCATTTAAATCTTCATTTATTTATGTGATTAAGATTGAACATTTTTATATTTTTAATGTAAATATATTTTGAATTTCATTTTTTTAATTTTATTAGTTAGTGCTTATACAACTCAAACTTAAAATGTAAAGTGTTAATACAGTCGTGAAATTATCTTAGAATAAAGTCTCATAATAAACTGATAAACACAGTTAATTATAATATTGTCAAGAAAACATTGTGGTCAATATTTTCCAAGTTAAAGAAAGAAAACTAAAATGGAAGAGAGGCAGAACTACTTAAGATTAATTAAGATAAGTCTAGGAAAATTATAATTAAACCTACTTGACTAAGATTAATGAAGATAAATCTAGGAAAATTATAATTAAACCTACTTAACTAAGATTAATTAATATAAGTCTAGGAAAATTATAATTAAACCTAACTAAACTAAATTAAAACTATCATTAGGAGGGATAAGAAGACAGCTGCACGCCCCAGCAGGGAGGTGATGATACTGGGTTATACTCATCCACATTGAAAAGATAGTTGCACTGAGCGATCTGATGACGGCGGCCAGCTGCTCCTCCCTTTTCGTCCGAGCTCCGAATGGATGTGCTTTCCACTGTCTCTTCACCGGAGACTTCTGTGTAACCGGTGGACGCTTGGTTCCTTGCAGTCACCTGTTTATCCCTCAGCATAGCCCTTAATTTCAGGACCTATATGTACATCAAAAACAGATCAAATAAGCAAACTCCAAAAAGTTTTCATCTTTTATGCATATATTTATATTCTCGCCTTTATTACTCTCATATGTGAACCAAGAAAATCCGAGCAAAGGCAAAAAGAAAGTAGAAGTTGCATGAAAAAATGCATGGAGGAGAGGGTTCTGACCTCTTCAAGGAGTTTCTGTTTCTCCTTGGAGACAACATCAAACTCCTGCTTAAGAGCATCATACAAGCGCTCAAGCTGCTTCCCTTTCCATCTAGCGCGCCTATTTTGGAACCAAATCGCAATCTGCCTAGGCTGGAGACCGAGCTCCCTAGACAGCTTCATTTTCCGATCAGGGTCCAACTTGATCTCCTCCTGGAAACTCCTCTCCAGTGACTCCAACTGATCATTCGTCAACCTCTTCTTCTTCTCCATACCATCATTACCATAGCAATTCTTCTCCATTACCGGAACTAACCCATGTGTTGCAGCGGCTGTGGCCTCAGCCATTGCAGCAGGATGCCACATCTCCATTCCTAAGAGAAAATTTTAATATTGCGTGTGTTGCCGACAAAAAATAAAAACACAAGAAACCAGTACTACATTTATTCACCATAGAGAAAAACTAGAAATTTATTGTACCCACCAATTCACATATGGGAAGCATTGAACTTTGGGAGGAGGAAATGACAATGTACCTGGATATTGATGATGATCATAGTTACAGTTGAACAGGAAGTTAAAAGAAGGTTCTGGTCGAGGAACAAAGGTCCTTATGCTGCCATTCCAATCCATATTTCCCTTTCCTCTGTCTCTTCCTTCAAAACCCTCAAAATTTACGAGTCCCTCTCCAGGTTATTAGCTAGGACCACCGAGGGAAAGAATGAAGCATGGAGAAACAGATTTGTGTAAGTTTCTTTTGGGGTGCAACAGGCTTATATGTGTAATTTAAAAGAGGAAGAGGAGAAGAAGAAAAATCTGGGGATATCTAAGGTCCCAATCTGGTCCCAAAAACCTGCCTCTATGGAACTGACATTATGCCTTCCCTTATGACCTGTTTGGTTTGGTTAGAAACCATTTTATTAAAAAGGTTTTCATTAAAAAATTAGTTTAAAAAATATTATAAGAAAATTTATTAAATTTTATAATGAAATTTTATTAAAATTTTATTATGTAAAAAGTTGATATACAAAAAATTAGTAAGAAAAATTATTTAGTACTTAGTAGATTCAATATAAAAAAATGTTCAGAAACTTTTTTCTTTCAAAATATATCAAAAAAAAAGTTAATAATTGTATTAAAAAAATAAATATGGTGTTTTTACTCTTTTTTTGTATTATAATATTAATGTTAAAAAAATATAAATAACATTATAAAATAAAAAAATTTAAAAATTTTAAGAAAAAGAAAAACACAAAAGTTAGTTTTCAACCAAACACTCCGTTAATTTCTCACTCTAGCTAATTTGCTTCAACAGCATTTTCTCTCTCTTTCTGGATTTACAAATGTAGACGTTGTAGAGATGCTGTGGAGTGGGACCAAAAGGCAACGTATATGTTGGAGGAACGCACATAAAAAGTGGCGAGTACAAAAAAAAAAAAAAGAAAAAAAAAGGAAAAAAAAAAGGGGGAAAACGTGCCAATCTTCTTCCACGCAATGAAGTTAATTTTTTTTTTAAATAATTTGACATTATTTACAAATATATATAAGAAAAAAAAATGAATTTCATGAAATTCAAACATACTATTTATAAAAATAAACAATTCTAATCTAATATCAAATGTTATTGGGTTGGAACGAGCCATCTCACGCAATGAAGTTAATTAGTAAAATAAATGAAAGAAACTGCATGGGATTGGCCAACTAGCTAGGCTGCTATAGAGGTTAGTTTCTTGGTCTTCATGGTGAAGTTTTTGGCGAATTGGCCAGCGGTGAGGACGAGAGAGAATGTAACTTTTCATTATTTTTGGATAGACAATTATTAGTATATATTTTGATTTAATATATTATATAGTATATTTATTAAAAAATTATTTTTTAAAATTTAAATTTAAAAATATAATTATATATACATAATGTAAAAATTAATTAAATTAATTATATTTATATTTTTTTTAATAATTAAACTAAAAATGTATTAAAAATATATATTAAATTAAATATGCACCAACTATTTTTCTTTTTAATTTCCAAGGTTAAATGGTTTAAGTTAAAAAGGAGTCAGCACATTATGATTAATGAGCTAGCTCTGTTCAGTCGACAAATTCTGTAATTTGATGTTGTATTAAATCATTTGATATCACTGCTGTTTTGACTTATTTTTGCATCTTATTCTATCCGAGCAATAAACCAATTCTATCTTGGGTGAATTTGTTTTAGGAGCAGTGTTACGAAAAAAAAAAAGGGAGTAATTAAAAGGAAAAAGGGAATTGGGTTTGGCTTCTATTTTTCTCCCCTTCTCCACCCCCTTAATTAATTAACTTGCAGTGCAATATATCAGATGATCAACAAATCTCCCCCCACAACTTTAATTAGCTTGCAGTATGATAAAAGACCATGGATGAAACGACCTCTCTTTTTCTCTCCTTTTTCTCTTGTTGGGTTATGAGTTTTGTTGAGTAGCAATTAAATTATAATGAATGTGTGGGGCAAGAAGGGTAGAGAGACGCTTTTAGTGAAATAAATCGTGAGTAACAATGAGAGAAGAAGACATTGAGCCCAAAATTCTGAAAGAGATGTGAGAAAGAGGTCTCACCAGTCTGTCCAGTGTCCATCAATTATAACTAGAGCTAGTTTTGACAATAACATCTCACATTAATAAATATATATATTATGTTATTTAAATTATTAAATAAAATTAAATTTTTTATGTTAGAAATTATTTCTCACCTAATAATTTTTATTTTACAATTTAATACAGGAATCCAATTAACAAAATACAACTCCAAAAGAAATTTTATTTTCAAAAAAAAAAATTTAATTTTTAACCAATATCTTGAAACAAAGATATGAAATTTTAATAGATATATTATGTGGGATAATCCTCATGTTTTTCAACTCCATTTCTACTTAATTAAAAGTTTAGAAGTCAAAAACTTAAAATATGAATTCTAGAGCTCTTATAGGGTTATTAGACACCAATTAGGAACTTGAAAAAAAAGAAGAAGCGATTGGTGGTTGCCACAGATTAATATATTAAAGAATATGCAAATTTGTTAACATTGTTTACAAAATCACATACTTTTTAACTGATGAAAATAAAGTATATCTATTCTTAACAAGTTCATTGACTAATGTTATCTGCTATCCTAACCAATTTAAGGCAAAAAAAAAAAAGTTGTAGACTAATAAAATATCAATCACCAAATAAACCCGAGTATGATTTGTGTGGTCATAACACACCCATCAAAATGTGTGGATTTGTGCCCCTCAAATTCTCCTCTATTGTTCTGTCCTTTTTACCTGAGTTTGGTTAGAAAGATAAAAACTTGTACTTTCTCTGTAAATCTTAGTTACCTGTCTAGAAAAAACTCGTCAAACTTCAGCTTTTAACCAACCTTGTGCCCCGACATCTAATTTACTTTCTACCACTCCAAACAGAGATACAAAAGAAGAATTCTGTTTTTCTTCTGGAAATGAATTTAAGTCTCTTCTCAACATTGAAACACAGGCTGATGACATTTTGGGGGTGAATTAAAATAGGAAGACAGACATGTCAAGGACTCTTTAATCAGATTCAGTATGCAGCAGGACAGTGAATTCTGTCACCTGAAACTAGCTGTCGTAAAAAATCAGAATGATGACCCTTTCACAGTCTCATTGCAGCTTTTTTTTTTTAACAACATTGATGAACTGTTTGTCTCAGTCTAAGATTTTCGACACAAATATTCGAGAAATCCGGCTTTTATTATGTTGCCGACTGTCCATGCATACAGTCATAGTCAGATAGGACAAACTCTCTCCATTTGCAACGCAAGGGTGAAAAGAAAATGCCATTGGGTTAGGTTTGAAATCTTTGTTATTTTTTGCTGTGTTTTGGGAGAAAAACAACAGCAGTAGAAATGGCTGCTAATCTTATACATCTATCTGTGTAGGTCAAATTAGTTGTATATGGCATTCCCCTGTTGTGGCCCAATGATGGCTACTACTGCCCAAAAGGACAGTCAGTAGAATGCACTCTTGATCTCAAGTTCAATACTTTTCAGAACATATATTAACCTACTAATCTAACCATTTTCTCTGTCAAAAAAAGATAAAAAATAGTTGTGTATGTGCCTAGCAAAAGGAAAATCCATAAGTCGAGCTGCCATGCGTATTGATTCAAGACCATTGCATGGATGAAAATCGTGTCAAACATAAGTAACCGCTCATATTTTGGTCTAGTAATCTTTTTGGGTTGATTGATGAAGAATCATAAAGAGGGAATAACCTTCTTATTTTTTCATTTTCCATAATCTATCCCTTGATTCAAAATCCAAAGTTAAAAGTCTCTAACTTGAAATTTTAATTCAAACTATCAAGTTATCTCTTAAAAGATAAAATATTTTATTATGTCAGTAAGATACTTTTGGTGTTGTGTTGTGAATCCATATTAAAGATATTCTAGTCAATAAAAAGATAATTCTTTAAAAACCTCTATATTTCTTGTAAATGTGTCATTTTAAAGTGTGAAATCTTCGTAAATGTGTTGATTGTGAAGTCTCATTCATATATGAAGATGCAAAAGTTTTTGAAATGTTATTTTTCTATTAGCTAAGATACCACCTCATAACTATATCGTGACACAGCAAAACTCTTGCTTAGCAGACGGTCTAAAATATAGCCAACATAAGTTGAGACGCATATGTAGGTATCCGGAAGCAAGGATCATCTACCATGGTGTCCTCCTTTTGTTTCTATGTTTGGGGTGGAAATAATTAGTAAATGCTATGTGTATCGTCAATCATCATGTTCTTAGTAATCGGACCAATGATCTATTGGACCAACAACTCATTGGCTAGTAGCTTCCATGGCTTCCTTCAAGTTTTGCATATTAGATTGTAATAAGCCAAATTGTTTTCATTTGTTTGGATATAATTAACAAGAATTTAACTGAATTAATATTCAATAATTTATAAATCTTAATTTAAGATTAGAATTAAAAATTCAAATTCCTATATTATCAAACAACTAATCCTCTAATATATAAAAAAATTATTTGGACAAAGAAATAAGAGGACATTTCTGGTCTGAACACCCACATAGAGAGAACAAAAGATAGAGAGAGATATGGACATTGTAAAACTTCCGAGTGGTCCTAAGGACTTTAAAGTCTGCAAACAAAAAGTTGAGGAGAGAGATTCAAGTTGCTGTGCCATGTCAGAGGACTGTACAGGAGAGTGGCTAAGGGCATGGAAGTAGCTCAACTTTGCCGACTGTCCAAGAGTATGCATCATTGATTGATTAACATAATAATACAAGGGCAGCCGCGCGCCGATTTGTGGCCCATTCCCTACAGTTTTACCTAAGTGGTAGTCATTAGATGGGACAAGGACATGTGCATATAAGTAACATAACAACCCTAAAGAGGAGGCATTTAAAATTTGCAGCTCAGTTCATCTACTTAATTATATGGCTTAGCAAGAAAGAGAAATACTACCCTAATCAATTGGAATGCAAAGTAGAAGCCGATACAAGTCAAACAATATGGTGTTACTTAGGAAAGATGAATGCAATGATGAAATTTTTAGGTCTTTTCTTGCTCCCTCAGCTAGTCTTTTTCCCTTTTTCTTCCCTATTCGTACAATAATCGCTCATTCTTGCTAAATGCTAATCAACCAAATCATCTCCACAAGACTAGCAGCTACCATTCTCAGGACCTAGTCTTGCCAAGAACACAAATTGGCTTTCCTAGTAGAGCTTACGTAACATATTAAATGTCAGTTTCTGCAACAATGATGATAAAAGAAAATTTGAACAGTTTTTACATTAACGTATAATGCTATGGTTGAAAAGAACATTGCAATTCTACGTCAAAATGTGTTGAAACAATCACAGGAAGCTAAAACAAAAGAGGACTTTATTTCTGCTAAAGAGTTTAAAGCACAATTTGACAATCAATCAGAAACAAAATTCTTTTCCACAAACAATATGAGCAGCCATAACTACATTGGTGGTCCAGCACAACCTAGCACAAACCTCTTCATTTGCTTCATAACTCTCACAGGACAACCTGGCAAAATTTAACTGGACATGCAACCCGTTATTTATGGGTTGAGATCAGCTATTTACCAAGATGACCTGACCCACGACTAGCCCAACTTGACCGTTTGCCTGGTCTAAGAGTACCCCCATGGACCAACCTCTGGTGGAGTATACATTAGGTCTAATTATTTCGGAGTTTAAACTAGGATTCCAACTTCAATCTGCCCAAATGCGAAGAAGTAAAACTGGACCAACCAACCTATGGAAGAAGATCTAACCTAGCACGTGAGACGTGACTAGGCCTCGTACTTCTCAGGACTTCTTATCTTATGTCTTAAATACAATAAGAATTGGACAGCAAGGACATCATTTACATGGGGGAAAGAAAAAAAAAGAAAAAAAAAAAGCGGTCGACAAATCTACTATCTTTTCAAAATACAAACTCAATATCATAAGCTCCTGGATAAAGAAAACCATAAGAGGAAGATTGTTTAAAGAACAGCAAAAAGCGTAACTCAAATAAGAAGCAGAGGGTACAGAGATTTCAAGTTTTCAACGTGATTAAGAAGTAAACCCAAACCAACATTGTCCATTTTTTGAGTTTGACCAAAACAAACTAAGCTGAGAAGAATGAGGTCCCTCCATTCCCCATGCAGAACACGAAAAGGAACACTCCATAGTTTATTTTCTTTTGAGTAAGGAACACTTCTAAGTATTTATTTATTTATTTATTTACAGGCCGGGAGGCCAGAAGGCCAAGTTGGGGTTCAAAGTTCAAACCCTCAACCTAGCACTACTATCCAGAGGGAAGCAGGTGAACTTAGCCACCGGCTCCACTACCCTGGATGGGAACACACTTCATGGTTGACACTTGATATAACCATTTTAGTGTCATTCTCTAAGTAATGCGTAAATAAAACATTATACCAGCACAAAATCCACCAGGCGACAACCACAGGTTTCCTGGAGATATCATTATTTAATTTTATAGTTATTATAAACTCATGAGAACTGTGGATAAATAATGTAACAGATTTATTGAGGAAGTTTGAGCTTCATATATAGAGATATCCGAACAAGACATCCTTATCCTAACACCCAACAAGCTTTCCTAAAGCATAAAGAGAACAAAAAAGGAATAACACTGTGATCAGAAGATTGAAGAAAGAATTGTACCTCCTTTGCTTTACAGCTAAGTTATAAAATTTTTAGCAGAAGCCTGACTAAAACAGGGTGATAAACCAAAGCACATTCTCCTAATCCTATCTGCAAAGATATAAACAGAAATAAAACTAGATTAAATGCATGGTATTGAAGATTACATATTCAAAGAGGACACATACCTACTCCAAAAATCAATTAAGATGATATTCTCTAACATCAATGCCTTTAGAAGTATAAGCTGTACGAGGAACCCATATAGAATTCTTGGGGATGATTCCCAATAAAAAACAACAATTGACTTGACTTGTTTCAGGCTATTTCAGAACCCCTCTTCTTTTACGTTTTTGTATATCACTGGGGATGATGAACACGGAATCTACACAAAGCCCACCTTTTGAATGCGTGCAATCTATCTGTTTCATAGAAAATCTGACTTCAGTTGCTGGCTCAGAGTCAGTGACAATAAACTCGCCTACTTTATACTCTATCCAGCATCCACGTTTATGGTTTCCTGTCACTTCATCTTGCTCAGTATCATCCAAGCAACACTCACATGATGCTTGGTGACCATCAGCAGTAGACAACTCAAATCGTACAGGTTTTATGGCCCAACCATGGGTATGCTCAAAACTGCACACCCGCCGTCCCAACCTTTTGGAAAATTTTCCAAGATGAAGCCTGAATGATAGAGTGTAAACACCAGCAGGGAAAGGAAACTTCACCACTCCATCTACTTCAAACCACCAAATTTGCTGCAAGTAGGCCACAACATTGAATCTGCAAGAGAAGCAACACAGCAGGTTATATCAATTATTCTTAAAATAAGAAAAAAAACAATACAATCAGTATCAAAATAATGGGGTAAGGTAGTAGTGTTGGTTAAAGAAGAGTAACCAATGATAAAATTAATAGAGACAAGAACAAAACTTCAAGTTTGCGTGAATAACATGTATACTTTCTACCATAGCTCTTATTTACATGACACTTCCACGGAGATGCCATAGAAGTCAGTGACAAATCCTGTTTTTGGAGGGTTTATAAGAAAGTGAAAACTCACATTCAGTCTCCCACCATATGGGCTATTGGACAAAAACAAATAAAGAAAACAATGGAGTTAATGGACATTCCAAGAAAGCAACCAAAACTTTCAAAGAAGAATTAGAATGAAATAATTTCTTTATGTTTGGGTACAAATGAGAAAAAAGTGTTTGATAGGATGTATAAGCTTGAACTTGTTTACAACACGCATTCAGAAATGAATAAATGATAATGCTACCACTTGCAAGAACAGATCAACATTTATATGAGATGTTAGAATCACAAGTCCTTTTCCACTCCCTCTATTCTCTTTTTCCTTTTTACATGAGTCATGCTGTTATGGAACAGAAGGTTGAGTAAATTGCTGTGGCTTGCATGGGTTATCAAACTTAATAACATTTCCAATTTGAGGATTGAGAACTAAAATCTTAAAAGGTAAGAAAATTAAACCCAGATGACCAAAACCACTTGGTCTACAGTGATCAGGACAAGAATATCTTTTAAGAACGAAAATGATGAGAGGGTCCAAATATAGTATGAATATACATTTTTCCAACCACAACACATCTTTTGAGGTTCACATGATGAGGAGAACAATGGCAATGTCATATTTAAAAGAAACTAGTAAAGGTTCTGCATAGCAGGAAAAACTCAACTAAAGGCCGAATGTGGATAAGCACCAAAGGAATGAACCCCACAAGACTTTTCTCTCTCTAGATCATGCATAACACCATATATAAATTATAACAAGGACAAGAAACATAAGCTTTAATGAGCATAAAATGTACATGAGTCAAATCTATTTCCTTCCACATGCAAGCATGCAATAGAAAATATGATTTAACAAGAAAAATCCATCTATTTGATCCATATAGAGGACAAGTTAGCCAACACTCAGTTAATCCCAGTTCCAGCTTCTCTAAGTGTCAATATTGAAAAGTTAAGTAAAAGAACCATTTTAGCATACATTTATACCACTTTCAAATTAAGGTTTAAGGGACTGCCAATAAATCCTAGTTAGTATCAAAAAGGATCATATCTGACCTAGATTCTTCAGTAGGAATCCAACTCCAATATCTCCTATCGTCAATTCCAGTTACCAACATCCCCTTTGCAGATATAGCCATGCAAACCATTCCAGTCATTCTATCCAGCCATACTACCTGCAAACCCACATTTCAATCAATAATCAACTCAAACATGTTTCATATCATATGAACCCAAATTAAAGTAACTAAAACAAAGCGAAGAGAGAGAACACACAAAATCATAAAAGACTAACCCAAAACCCTCAAGAAGAAACCTCACAAACAACAGAGTAAACCTCATATTAAAATTTCCAACAATCAGAATAACCTGGCATTACCATCTACCAACAACAGCAATTATCCAAAACACTTATTCTAAATTATCACCTAGACTCATTAAAGTTAACCCAATAAACCCCAAACTAAATTAAATAAACAGTTAGTTCACTGTAATCCACCACTAAGCTCAACAACAGCCAAAATCCTCATTTCTAATTCCTGCTAAACCTAATAATGAAAACAATTCCCAAATAAAACACAAAGAAAGGACTAACCCACCTAACCCATGCAGAGAAATTTTTTTTGACAAAGATTGAATTAAAACTAAAAGAAAAAATCCAAAAAAAAAAAGAAGAAGAAGAAGAAGAAGTCAGCACGTACCTTATTGCCATCATCAAAAGGAACCGGGCGAGAAAGAAGTGCAAAGATATCCTTCTTTGACAAGTTCTGGTACCTTTCAGGCGGCAACAAATCGAGCAGATCTTGGTAATTAGGCGGCAGCTTCTTCTCCCACACCGAATCGGACGACGCGGCACCCCTAAACGCTCGATTCAGCCTCGCCAAGTTACAAATCTCAGGCGGAGTAAGGTACAAAAACACGCACGCCACACAGCTCTCCGGTATATCCCCAAGCCCCGGTCCCATCGCCGAGCCACTCGCCCCCTCCGTCAGGTTCGATAGAGACGCACCCATCCGAGTCAATATCTTCGTGGAAGATTTTCTTGGACACAGAACGCTATTAAGTCATGGCGATGGAAGGAGTAGAGAGCAGTGGTCTGGTTAGTAAAGGAGAGATTTCGCGTCTCGTTGTATTCTTTCTTTTTCTTTCCTTTTTCTGGGAAAATGTTTCGAGCGAGAAACTGAGGGAAAATTTTTTAGAGCCCTGTGAATGCGGTTAGGTGGGTCCAACATATGAGAATGTAGAATGTGACTATTGGACTATAAAAACAATAGTTAGAATATTTATTTACAAAGTTTTTATTTATAAATTTGTTGTGTCTTCCCTCTCATGAATGTTCAAAAAAAAATTTGTTGTGTCTTCCAATTTTAACCATTAAAAATTATGATAAGAGTTTTTTTTTTTTTCTTGTCTTGCGTCCTAAAACAGGTTAAGTGTCTATTTTAGTTATATATTTGTAATAAAAATATAAAATTCGACACTGATTTTAGTATTGATATTGTGTTAGTAAATTTAATTAATTAGATAATTTATAAATTAAAAATTAAGTTTTATTTTTAATATAAATTTATGATAAAAATGTATATTTATTATACTTTTTATTTCTTTTTAAGAATACAAATTAGAAATCTTTAAAATAATTATTGACTAATAATTTTCAAATAAAAGGTTTTATACGGTTTATACTAAACTTGTTGCATTAAATTGACCAATAATTTGTGATGATGTATCTTTATTTAATGGTTGTAGTTTTATCATCAAAACTGTTGAATTGTGAAACCGTAAACTAGAGTTGTGTTTAATATGATTTTAATTTTAGGTTTATATTTTCATTTTTATATAATTATTACTATATTTAAAGAAATAAAATTTTGAATTTATTTCTAAATACGTTACAAATAAAATTCAAAACTCAAAACCAAAATTATATTTAAATAAAGATTAAGAATTTTATGTAGTTATAGCACAATTATTCATAATTCATAAGAAATGATTTAATAATTAAAATTTTGAGATTCGATATTAAAAATCTCATATTCGAATTTATATATCTTATGTAACTCATTGTCCTCAAATATACACTACTAAATTTCCATTATTCAACAACATGGAAGCACGTCGATCAAAGTGCTACCCATGTTGCTGAAAGTACTTTAGAAACATGAAGCATGTTGCTAATGCCTTTCTTGGTGAAGCATGTTGCTAATGCTTTTCTTGGTGAAGCCATGCTCGGTAATGTATTAGCAACAAGGTCCATGTTGCTGATACCTGGCACCCTCTTCGCCGACATACCTCTTGTTGCTGAAAATGGAGATTTATCGACATGGTTCATGTTGCTAAAAAATTCACCAGACCGGCCATCGAAATTTTTCACCATTTTTAGCAAGATACTTCTTGTTGCTGAAATCGGAATATCACCTACGTAGTTCATGTCAGTAAAAACCGGAATATTAGGCAATGGAATGTGTTGGTCAGTTGATACATTATTTTTTGGCTTTTTCAACTTCCTCTTGGGAGAACTCTGAGATGGGCAATTCCATAATGATTCAGGAGTATCCTCAATGATTCAGGAGTATCCTCAATGATTCAAGTGTAAAATAACATAAAGTTAAGTACTATGATAGCAAATAGGATGCACGAACGGGAAATGAGAAATAAGGGAAGGAAAAAAAAATTATACCATCATATTGGCTGTCAAAATATTCTTGACTTTCCAATTGGTTGTCAAAATAATCTTGACTTTCCAATTGGTTGTTAAAATATTCTTAACTTTCCAATTGACTATCAAAATATTGTTGATTCTCCATTAAGCAATAGAAAAAAGACTTTTGAAATTTATAAAAACTATTACTTTTAAATTATGATATAAAAATAATTACGTTGGCTTGAAAAAAAGTGAATTGCAAAAATAAGAGAAAAAGAGCAAGAAATTAAGAAGTGTGTGCATAATGGTTGGGGAAGGTATATATATAATGGCTTTGGCCAACCATCGGTCAAAGAGGTTAATATCAACAACATATGCCTTGTTGCTGATATTTGGTTGGTAGAAAAATAAGAATAACAGCAACATGGTATATGTTGCTAATACTTAAGGTAATTGGAAAGGTTTTCAGCAATATAACTTTTGTTGCTAAAAGTAGAGCTCAATTATATGGGAAAAGAGTCACCGGAAAATATCAGCAAGGTGGAGTATGTTACAAGAAAAAGTATATTGCTGAAAGTGGGGCAACTTTTCAGAGGGTGAAGTGTCCTGTACAACTTTCAGCAACATAGGACTTGTTGCTGATACATATTTTCAACAACAAAGAATCCCATGTTGCTGATATATTGTTGCTAAAAATCAAAGTTTTAGTAGTGGTACTAAAAAATTAACATTGTTATTTGTTTTTTTATTTCTATTGTTAAATTCTAAATAACACTAAATTAAAATAAAAAAATTTAACAAATAAAAAGAATTTAATTTTAATATTTCAGTTTTGAAATTTCAAAAAGAACAACGGAGGTCTATGCCAAGAAAAAATAAAAA